GTTTGATTAGCAAAAGTCAGGTTTAGAAAGCTGTGCATGGAATAAGAGAATAAAAGTCAGGTTCCTGGAGGCGGAGAGAGAAAGAGTTGGTCCCACCAGGGACTGTGAGCAGGATATTGACTCCTACTGCCAGACCCTTCTCTCTAAGGAGGTAGAGGGTCCGCCACAGTCACCTTCCAGGACTGGGGAGGACTCGAGGACCTCCCATGTTGTCAGACTCAGGGGTTGGACCAAGGTGGTCAAGGGCCCCAAGGCCTGTCTCACCAAGGCACCCCCACCACTTGAGTTTTGCAACAAGTATGAACCTCTTGCAGCCCAGCAGAGCCTGCTAAGTTGCCAGCTCCTGCAGGCAACACAGGCTCAACTATAGCTACCGCCCCCGCTCTCCCTAAGACAAAATGCCAAGTGTTTGTTGTGGGAGACTTCATCCTGAGGGGGATGGAGGGGACAATCTGGTGCCCCAACCCCTTAGCCTGGGAAGTCTGCTGCTTCCCTGGAGCCCAGATCTGAGACATTGTAGAAAGGATCCCTGAACTCCTTCAGCCCACTGACAACTACCCTATGCCGCTCATACATGTGGGCATGAATGACACAGCTCGGAGCACTCCCAGTCGGGTCATGAAGTGCTACAGAGATTTGGGAGTGGGGCTTATGGGGTTGGGGGTGCAGGTGGTGTTCTCATTGATCCTCCCAGTCTCGGGCTACAGGCTGAGGAGGGAGAGGAGGATCCAGGTAGTGAACCAAAGACTGTGGCACTGGTGTCACCAGGAAGGCTTTGGCTTCCATGACCACAGTCCACTCCTTGGAGAGAGAGCCAGTGAGCTGCTGGGAAGGGATGGCTTCCACCTCTCTCCGCTCGGGAGGAGGGTCTTCTCAGCCAGACTGGCTGACCTGCTCCACCGGGCTTTAAACTAAGCCCGCCAGGGGATGGAGGGGACTTCCACCACTGCTGACCTGCTGAGCAACACTTGCAAAGCCAGCAGGCCAAGGCACTTAAGGGAGGCCACCCTTGCCCGAGCCCTGGAATGAACTGTAGGCAAGGCAAGGGCCCCCAAGGAGACACTTGCGTGCCTATACACAAATGCCAGGTGCTTGGGGAATAAACAGGAGGAACTTGTTCTCCTGCTAAACACAAATAATTATGATATCATAGGGACAATGGAGACCTGGTGGGAATCCACCCATGACTGGACCATGGGTATAGACGGCTATACTCTGTACACTAGAGAGAGAGTGGACAGAAGGGGTGTGGGTGTGGCTCTCTATGTGAAGGAAAGGTACATGTCCCTGCAAGCCAACACTGACACCCAGGGTGGATGACTTGAGACCCCCTGGGTTAAAATCCATGGGGGACATGGCACAGGAGACACTATGGTGGATGTCTACTACAGACCCCCTACCCAGGATCAAGAGCTTGACCAGGAGTTCACCAGGAAATTGGCTGAAGCTGCATGCTCCCGGGGCATGGTTGTCATGGAAGACTTCAGCTACCTAGACATCTCATGGGAAGAGTGCTCAGCCAAATCCAAGTGGTCGCAAAGCTTTCTCTCATGCGTGAATCAGCTATATCTGACACAGGAAGTCTATGGGCCAATGAGAGGTAAAGCCCTGCTCAACCTGGTACTGGCAACTGGGGATGACCTAATCAGTGACCTAACGATCAAAGGAAAGCTAGGTGACAGTGATCATGAGCTTATCACCTTCACCATTCATCATAAAGCTGGCAAGTCAATCAGTATACAGAAGTCCTTGACTTCAGGAAAGCTGACTTCAACAAGCTAAGGAGGCTTGTCAGTGAGGCCACAACACCAAGGGGAGGGGAGCCCAGGATGAGTGGTTGCTCCTCAAGGGAAAAATCCTAGATGTGCAAGCAAAGTCTATCCTTTCTTGGAGAAAAGGCAACAAAAGTACATAGCAGCCCCCTTGGCTCCCCAGGGAACTAGTGGAGCTCCTGTGTCTAAAAAAAAGACTGAAAAAGGATGGAGGACGGGATCCACCACCAAGGGGGAATACTCTACACTGGTCCAGACCTGCAGAGAGCAAACCAAGAAAGCCAAGGCTGTGACAGAACTGCAGCTAGCTACAAATATCAAGGACAATAAAAAGTCCTTTTTTAGATATGTGGGGAGCCAGAGGAAAAGCAATGGCAACATTGGACCCCTGCTAAAACTGATGGGCAACTGAAACCGATGCCCAGGAAAAAGCAAACTTGCTAAATGGGTACTTTCCATCAGTTTTTCACCAGTCCCATGGGATGCCCCTGCCCAGTACGGGACAGGGAGGCCTGGTGAGGGACATTCCTTATCCTCCATAAATGCTGACCTCGTGAAGGAACACCTTGAGAGGCTGGATACCTTCAAGTCAGCTGGCCCTGACAGTTTACACCCAAGGGTGCTTAAGCAGCTGGCAAGCATCATAGCCCAACCCCTGGCATGGATCTTCAAGAACTCCTGGTACTCTGGTAAAGTGCCCGAAGATTGGAAGAAGGCAAATGTGGTGCCTATCTTCAAGAAAAGGAGGAAAGTGTATCCAGTGAACTACAACCCCATCAGCCTGACCTCTATCCCAGGGAAGGTCTTGTAACAAATTATCAAAGAGGCCATCCTTAAGAGACTGGCTGATTGCAACATCCTGAGGGATAGCCAGCACGCGTTTGTTGCGGATAGGTCTTGCTTGACCAATCTCATTTCCTTTTATGACAAGCTGACCTATCACCTGGGCAAGGGAGAAGAGATTCGTGTCATATATCTTGACTTTAAAAAAGCCTTTGATCTGGTATTCCATGATCACCTCTTGGCAAAACTGGTTAACTGCGGCCTCAGCCTTACCATGATCCACTGGCTGGGGAATTAGCTCCATGGTGGGACCCAGAGGGTAATGCTTGATGGAAGTCAATCGCCGTGGTGTGCTGTGATCAGTGGAGTCCCTCAAGGTTCTGTCCTAGGGCCTACAGTATTTAACTTCTTCATTAATGATGTGGACATTGGTGTCAGAATTGGACTGGCCAAGTTCACCAATGACACCAAACTCTGGGGTAAAGCATCCATACCTGAGGACAGAAGGGTGATCCAGGCAGACCTTGACAGGCTCACGAAATGGGTGGATGAGAACCTGATGGTGTTTAACACCGAAAAATGCAAGGTACTCCAACTTGGGAGGAAAAACCTGCAGCATTCTTATAGGTTTGGCAGTGCTACACTGGTTAGCACTATGGATGAAAGGGACTTGGGGGTCATAACTGACCACAAGATGAACATGAACCTTCAATGTGATGCTGCGGCTAGTAAAGTGAGCAAAACGCCCACTTGCATCCATAGATGCTTCTTAAGCAAATCCCAGGATGTCATTCTCTCATTGTACTTGGCCTTGGTGAGGCCGCAGCTGGAGTACTGCATCTAGTTTTGGGCTCCACAATTCAAAAAGGATGTGGAGAAGCTTGGGAGAGTGCAGAGGAGATCCACATGCATGATCAGAAGTTAGGAAAATAGACCTTATGACGAGAGGCTGAGAGCCATAGGGCTCTTTAGCCTGGAAAAGCGCAGGCTCAGGGGTGATTTGGTGGCCACATATAAGTTTATCGGGGTGCTCACCAGGATCTGGGGGAACGTTTGTTCACCAGAGCACCCCAAGGGATGACAAGGTCCAATGGTCACAGACTCCTCCATGAGCATTTCAGGTTGGACATAAGGAAGAACTTCTTTACTGTCTGAGCCCCCAACGTTTGGAATAGACTGCTGCCGGAGGTGGTTCAAGCACCTACTTTGAATGCCTTCTAGAAACATTTGGATGTTTATCTTTCTGGGATTCATTTCCCATTTAAATCAGTTGTCATCTGGTTCCATCTCAGATGCAAATGAGATCAGGGGAGTTGCTTCAGTCTTATCACCCTTGTCTGGAGGGCTTTAAGTGCGTCTCCTACTGCATCTTCCTTGTCTTTTGTTAAGCCCTTCCTTTAATCAGTTCTTGTTCAGACTGAGGTAGGGAGGGGGAGAGTTCTTTGTGGGTCAGACAGGCTGCGTCCTGTGCCAGGGTTCCCCAAGAACACAGAGCTGAGAGGTAACAAGACTGCTAGAATTTCTCCTCTTAAGCACCTTTTACACAAGCTGAACATGTGCCTAGCTCTCTTCAACCTCTCCTTGTGTGACTTGTATTCCAAGTCCCTTATCATTTTTGTCACTCACCTCTGGACCCTCTTGAATTTCTCCACATATGGCTTGCCTTCAAAGTCCCAAAATGTCCTTTTAAAATATAGAGCTGCACACCACCTTTAGATGAGGCCTAACCAGTTCTGAGTAAGAGGCACTATCTTCTCCTGTGTCTTGAACCTAGAACTGCTATTGATTCACCTGTTGTGCAGCTGCATCACACTGTAGACTCATGTTGAGTCTGTGGTCTACCAAGACTCCCAGGTCCTTCTCCATACTGCTGCCATCCAGCCAGGTGTCGCTCACTTTGTATTTGTATTTATGATTATTCTTCTCAAAGTGTAGCACCTTGAATTTGTCAGTATTAACCAGTACTTTCCAAGAACATTGATCCGTCCTGTGCAATTATTATGGAACATTTATTTGTATAGAGTACAATATGTATGGAATAATAATGTACTGAAGATTTGTTGGTAAGACATAGCAACAAAGTAACATCAGCTAAACTGTGAATGGCCGGTTTACTAAGGATCTCCTGATAAAAAAAAATGCGTGGAGGTGACAGGCCTTGCAATGAGATACAAGAAAAGTTACTCCAGTCTAATCACCACCAACTGCTTTGGAGGAAGGTATGAGAAAATCTGTGGTCAGGAATTATTGGATAACCTGCTTCCAAAACACTTTTCCTGATAACCAGCCTCCAAACTAATGGGTAAATCCTGAAGTATAAGTGGTAGGAAGCAGGGCAGTATTCAATTTAGAGATGGTTGAACAATTAGTTTGTCACAAATTCTTTTGGTGACTTTTTTTTCTTGAATTGAGAACACTGGTTATGGGAACATGTTCTGTAAAGAAGAAATAATGATTTTAATAATAGGACACTGACATTTTGATTCGTTCAAAACAGTTTTTCTCTGATTTTTTTTTCCATTTGCAAAATAGTACATTCCATTCCAACCTCAATGCATAGTTTAGAACGATATTTTGCTCATTCTAGTGTGTTAGCATGGTTTTCAAGGGAAAAAGAAGTAGTAAGGACTCTGGGAATTGGTAGGTATCCTTATTCTCCAGGAGAACATGGTTGTATAAGAAGCATATCCAGAACCCAGAAATTTATGGTCCAGGGTGGTGTTCAGTTAAATACCAGAGCCCAGGAAAGGATATTCCTTTATTAAACCTAATCCACAGTGAAAAAAAAACACACTAACACACACACGACCTACAAACCACAGGAGTTCAGTAAGATTGAACCACCTCTAGAAGTGATTTCTACAGTTTCAAGTTGAGACGTTGGCTGCTTGAGAGTTTATGCAGTGCTCAGTCAGCCTGGTTAATCCTTCTCAAGCACTGATGAATTGTTCATATTTATATGCAACATAAAAAGCCCCCCATAACTATGCCAGTATCTCCACTTATGTTGCCAGCATTTTTCAATACTGTTTTAACTAAAACTATTGGGAACTGCTAAGCATTTATCACATGCTAGAGAACTGCTTTAACTATATCAGTGTAATATAGATGAGAATTCCACTTATGTGGATACTTTTGTACCAGAATAAAAATGTTTATACCAATATTCTTGTACAAGAAAGGAATAACTTTCTTGCTTACTCTTGCTTTCACTTTCTCACTCTCACTCTCATTCTCACTCTGTTTGTCCTCCACTTAGACCCAGTGGTGCCAGCAGCTTGCCCTTTCTGGGAGGAGAAGGTAGAAGAGACTCTTTTCTATGCTTTTCTGGACTACTTTTGGCTGTGGCCACTTTGCTGCCTTCAGTGCCCCAGACTTGGACTTCTCCAAGACTTTGTACAATTTCCCTTCCCTGTGCCTAGCAGCCCAGGAAAGCACAATCTGTTTGGCCAATTTGCTGCTAGGCCAGTCCAAGGTGGGGACCGTAAAACAAACTTGTTAATAGGGCTTGGTACTGATGGCCTCAGCACAGGAGCTCCACAGCTGCACATGCTGCTTCCTGGCTGGCTGGGGCACAGGGTGCCCACACACTGAGGCACCCTGTGTCCTAGCCAACCCCCCCTACAGCACATGGAGCAGGACAATGTGTCCTGATGCAAAGCACATGGGCAGGGGTGTGCACTGCAGCATGAAGTAGTAGCACAGATTTATGCTGCTATTTTATTTTTTATTTAAATTTATGCCACTACTGCTTCTTCTGCTGCAGAATGCATACCCCTGCTCATATGGACACAGCCATGGTGTTTTTATTACTGACAAGCTCAGCCCCTGGGAGGGCTACATATTTTTACTCTTGTGCCTTTTGACTTTTATAATAAGTGTTCAAAAAGCTCTCTCTCTGTCTCTCTCTCTCTCTCTCCCCCTCCCTCCCTTCAGTCTCTGGCCCTGGCACCAAGGTTGTCTGAAATGTATGTTAGGCCACCTACAGGTGTTCAATTACAGCAGTGGTGTACCAATGACTAGGGAGGCAGAGGGGGTCCATGGCCTCTGGGTCCCAGCCTCAGGGGGGGCACCTTCCAGGTTTGTGTGAGGCCCACTCCCCGCCCAGTGTGTTGTGGCTTTCTTAAGCCACTCCAGCTGGAAATTCTGGCCACTGCCTCGCCCCCCATGGCTGGTGTACTGCATTGCTAATTCCCCCATGGAAGTGCCATGGGGCGGGACATGGGGCCCCATACAGGGTGATTTGCCTTGGGCCCCACACCCTGCTCAGATCATCCACGGGGTGGAGGGGGCGCCAATACAAGCATTGGCCCCTGGGTACCGGGGACCCACGGTACACCACTGAATTACAGGAACAATGGGATCTGATCTGCAATCCCAATCATCACACCTCCTGCCATTCCACACATGCATGGCAAGAAGTGCAGTTGTGGAATTGAGGATCAGAACCCAATCATGCCATCTTCCCAGTCCAAGTAGCTTGTGTGTGACATGTGACAGATCAGGGAGGGGACCGGCAGCACAGTGGCAGATAGGCCAGGTAACAGAAAGCAGAGCAGCAGTTTGGGCAAGGAAAGGGGATCAGAGTGGCACTCAGGGAAAGCGTGGGGCTTAAGTTGTAGCATGCTTGCCAAAGACATTGCCCCCTCACCCCCAATAAGAATTAAGGAATTTCCATTCTATGTGTAATGAACTCTTATTCCCAAATAGTTCTTTGCAAGTATTGTAATTATATTGACTACATCAATAATTTAGCTAAAATGTCTTTATTGACCCTAAAGGCTAATGGAAGTTATACACTACTTCAAAAAAATGTTCAAAAATACTAAAAGAAATACCAATGGCATACTAGATAGCAATGTTATAGCATTTACAAATGGCTGCACCCCACAGTAATTATAGTTACAAGCATTTGATCAGTATATCTATAAGTTGTCTAGCAAAGGAAATTCTAGCTCTCCCACACTGCCTGGCTCCAGAAGATTAGGTAAACTAGTGAAAAAACCCTCTATCTTGCTGTTTTATCTCCAGAGACTTCTGGTTACATCATTTTCTGAGCTCTAGAAATCAATAAAATCTAACCCCAAACTTCTATACATACCTCTGGAAATGTTTATTGGTAACCCATTCTTTCATGTACCTAGGGCATTTCAGTTACTACACATCTCATATAACATGGAGGTTGGGCACCTCCTTGTCTGCCAGCTCTGGATGTTTAGGTAAATGGTTGGCCCTGCTCACTCTTTCCTAAAAATGTAATTCATATATGGCAATCCAGTTCTTGAGCATCAGCTTAGTGGCAGCAACAGAGGGCCCAAGTGCTGGAAAGGACAAGCTGGAATAGGAGACAAGAACTTAGCCTATACACCAAGGAGTCCACTACTCAGTCTTTAGATAACCTGAATCACTAAATCAAAGGCCATCCACTGCCTCTCTCTGATGGAATTTAGTGAGCTATGAACTACATTGCTTGCTGAAATATTTTACTATCTCTTCTTCAATACCAAAGAAAGAGGTAATATGCTCACTATTAGACCTGGCATTGACGTTCAGTAGACTGAAGGCCCAAAGCCAGCATGCATTTCAAGTATTTACATACTGGTCCCTGTCCCCATTCATCCCCAAAGCAGTGCTGAACACAAACATGCAACCTCCTCAATCCTGCCTTCCCCAACTGCACAGTGGAACCATACTTGTTTTGTTAATGAGGACCTGAATGATGTGTGTGCATGGGGTGCGGTGGGGTGGGCAGGGCAAAGATTTGCCAAAATATGGTTAAGCCACTTTTAAATAAAAGGAGAGATTCTATGCTCCAAGATATTGTCAGAATACCATTGAAGTCCAAAAAATTATGTCATTTTAGAGAACCTGAGACTAAGTATTTGTCCCAAGCAATGTTCAACAGCAATATAGTTTTACAAAAATACTCAAAAAGAACCACACATTATTAATAGAGTCCAATTTTGATACCACATTAGTCTAACCTGTGGCCAAACAAAAAATGTCAGGATGAAGATCAATTCATTAGGTTGCAGTGCAAAGCAGTAGGAAGCCAGTTATTGAAATATAATTTCCTGCTGGTTAATTTATCGTGCAAAGCTTTGTAATTGGAAATGCTGTAAATCTAATTTGTCTTAATATTGCAATAATATTGGCATAAATGTCTCTTTAAAGACACCAATAAGCTAAATGAAATTAAAACCCTTTAATTAAAGCCCTTTTAATAAACTCAGCAAAGATATGCTAAACATTTGCACATAGGTAAAATGTTTGCAACATAGGTTTGCAATCCAAGGACTGATTATAAAGAAGAAAAATTCCCAAATTTGGCTTGACCAATGAATGTACAAGATCTATTATTTATCATACCTGAGGGGAAAAAAATCATGGCATTTATGGCCATACAGGACTATTATAGCATCTAGTATAACCTTCTGTATAGCAAAGACTATAAATTCCATGATGTGTCTGACTAAAGCATGGTTTCCCGAAAGGTATTTAAAGAGAGAAAGAGAAATAATCTCTAATTTCCCCTGCTAGTTTGTTGCAGTGATCAATCAGATTCACTATTAAAAACAGTGTTTTATTTCTAATTTAAATATACTTGGCTTCAAATTCTAAGTATTGGTTTTTGTCCTGCATTTCTCCTTTAAAGATCCCCTGGTACTTAATGTCTTCACCCTAGCATCACAGACAATCTTTATGCCCTCTATTTTCAGTAAGATTAGAAAGACAGTTACAAATTTAGCTCCTAATCCTGCATGTACTTAACACTACACATTATAAATAATCCTATTGACTTCAAAAGGCAATTCATAGTCTGGAAAATTAAGCAAAGGATCAAAATCGGTGAATTTAGCAGTAGTAGAAGCAAAGCATAACTTCTGTTTCATTGTATGAAATGTAAATATTTTCATTCCTCTCTCTCTGCTGAATAACTTTTTTGTTCAACAAGAAAAAAGGGGAAAATATCTGGAAATGAAAATTAAACTGCTGCAGAAAAGGCAAGTATTTGCCCTTCAGGAAATTTTGGAAGTTATAAAACTATCTATGATGTCTGTTCCTGAACTGCCAAAGCCTCTCTGTTCAGCAGTAATCAAGAGGCATTTTAATCAAGAAGGGGAAATAAGGGACCAAGTGATAAATCTGACTCTTGACTGAAGGAATACCCAGGGATTTAAAAGTAAAATTACTTAGCTTAAGACAAATTGGTTTGTTAGTTTTATAAATGCAAACTGAATACTTTAATCCTATTCATTTATTTTTTAAAGAATAGTTTTTACTCATCTTCATTATATTATCTCAAACTTCAGGAGGGAAACTTCGTTTATAAATTAAATTATAGGCTCCAGAACCAGTTATGATGTGCTCCAGTTTTGAACCCAGCTATTGCAGACCTTGGTGGTCTATGCACATGATAATGAATTTGGTACATTTGGTACGGATAGGTGATTGAACTGAAACAAACTGTATGCTTGACAAATTAAATCTGGTTTAGCAAAAGGCAGTCTCATAATGTACAATATAGAAATTCTGCATATCAGTGCTAGCAGAAGTGACACAATGAGGGCCTTCTTATAAACAACCCATCAACTTATAAGAACCAGCCTTTGCACTGAAACCACAAGGCAGCAAGCTCCTTGACCTCACAGTCTTCAGAGAATGAGTCTAAATGACTACATCTGAAGGTCCGAACTCTGTATGATCTTTGAAATATGTTGAGAAGTATGTTTAGAACTTGCTCTCATGCTGTTATTTTTCTATGGGAAGAATTGACAAGGTTATAATCAGACCTACCACATAGCAAAGCAAATGTTGACTACAGCATGGGGGCTTTTGATGAAAAAGTAGCTCTATCAGGAGCGTTACATCAAGGTAATTATAGCTCTGAATTTTGAAGTACTATTGTGATGTCTTAAATTGGAGCTTGGAGCAAATAATTTACTGGAGATTATAACAGTGGCAAATATACAGTATGAAGGAAGAGGAGGAGTTGGAGGAAAGGAAGAGGACTGAATTAATTGGTGTACCTCTCAAAATTCTGTTTTTTAACTATATGTTTTTCTATACAAATGAAAACAAGGACTCCAACAATTACAGTGAAATAAGAAAAGAGAGGACAAAATATAGCCACGTTTGTTGCATTACACAATAGCATCTACTATTGTTCACTACTTTTTACTGTAAAAATAAATAAATGGAAGACCAACACAGGCTTTGATACATGAAGGAAAGATGAGATTTGGAGCTGCAAGTGGCATATAGGAAACTAACAATAGTACCTAGCGTCAATAGTACTTTTCAGATGCATACCTCAAATCATTTTACAAGGGTGCTAAATATCAATCTTGTTTTCTAGATGGGAAATAGAAACACAAAGGATAGAATTCTATTTCACCTAGTAGATAACCAAAGTGTACCTCGTAACCAACTCCAAGGCTAGGGACAGATATTCAAAAAGCTCAAGCCTGAATTGATTCGATCTTTGCAGATCTAACTTGCCTAGGTTGAATGAGTTTGCAACTGCACAGACATTCCCTCCGGACTGAAGGAATACTGGCACACACCTGCAGTGACTCGGGCTAGAAGCTGGAGGGCGCTAGAGAAGCCCTCCCTTCTCTTCCAAAGTGCTGAGTTGAGGAGGCGTGTGGCCAGGCTCTGAAAGAATGTTCTGATTAGGGAGGGGTGTAAACCCCCACCCTGCCTGCACCATCCCAGGCTTCTCCCCACTCTGCTCAAGGAGCAGGAATGTTGCCAGACCCCTGATGATACTCAGCTTTTCAATCTCCCTCTCCCTGCTTCTTCATACTGTTTGCAAACATGACATGAGGGAGCCAGCAGGGGGCTCATAACACAGCATTTATCAGCCCATCAACAAAACAAAACCCTCTCTCATTAGTTCAAACTCTTCTTAAACAGCTTTTTCCAATGAAGCAGTGGAGAAACACTACCAGCTTACCTGTTGATTAGCTCCAAAAATCGCTAAGTGGACACTGTTCTGTCTGTCTGTCCCAGTGAAATTGGAGACACACACACACACACACACACACACACACACACACACACACCTCTCAGCATTAAGTGAAATTGGAGACACACACACACCTCTTAGCATTAGCTAGCATACCACATGTCTAGGATCCATAGGGCTGGGGTCTGTGTTGTGGGAGATGGGAAGGAGGGAAGGAGTGCAGAATCCCTGCTTGAACAGGGATCAGCAAGTGGGGGGGCCGGGGAAGCAAGACAGACCCTGCTGTGTTGCAGTCTCCTCTGGAACTCTGACTAAGCAGCAGAGGGGCAGGGCCAGCTCTGCTCTCTGGAGCAGATGGCACAGTCCAGGGCTGCAAAGCATCTGGGATGCTGGGAGACTCTGGTTTAACTTAAACCAGGGGACAAACAGTACATAAACCAGGGTGGCCAGAAACAGTTAAGTCTGGTACTACATGCAACCAGGTTTATCTTAAACTAGTTTCAGACATTTTGAAACTGGTTGATGTGTGCTGAACTTATGTTCTGTTACAGGTTTAAAGAAGTTTCTGATATCTTAAACTGGTTCATGTGTAATGACTGTCCCTAACCTAAGTTAACAGGCTAAATTACTGGCGAAATTGCCATTACCACTCTGGCCATAAAAGTGCCCCCATTATAGGAATAGAGTGAAATCACAAGCTGTACTTTGGCCACCTAATTGAAAAAAAATCTGCCCAAAGTGACCTAATGAAGGTTGCCCAGCAACCTTTCTATAATTTTCCAGGTAAAAAATCTAATTATTGCAGGTTTGCTTTAAATTTGTCTCCCTCCCATTGCTACAGCGGAGAAAATAAGTCTGGGCACTCAGGTTTACAACCTGTTTTCCCCAACTTTTTTCCCCCAGCAGCCCCTTCCTTCTCTCCTTACTGTCAGACCCTGATTTCCCTGAGCAGATGGAAATGAGGAGCAAATTTGAAGAGTTACCTTGAAATTAGATATAGTTGTAGCAATTTGCATACAGTACCCATGCACTCAGTTTATCTATAATTGATGCACATTATCATTCTTTGAAGCTGCTAGAAGTTTTATCACAAGTACTCCATAAACACACTTCTGAGCAGCACTTTGGCACCTACGTATAGGTAATACAAACTATTTTTTAATCGTGTCTGTGTGTGTGTGTAAAAATATATAT